TTTAGGATTTAAAGAAGCATTGTATTTGTTCTCGTAAAGAATAATTGATTTTCTTTAAGAGCCAATGTGAAATAAAGTAACAACTTAATCCATGTTAAGTGGGGATTAGATTAAAGAATAATAGATTAATAGAAATTTCGAAAAAAAGGATGTTGTGCACAGATTGTTATTTGTATATCTCGCAATCCCACATTGGTGGGTAGATACAAAGACCATAATTATGTCAGGTTATATAAAATGAGGTTCTGTGAATCACTTTTAGCTTGAATTAGCACATTACCTGTCGAGTGATACGGTAGATTAGTAAGTGGGTTTTTTGAAAAGAAATAAAACACTTATTGTTTTGAATAACTAAAAAACAGTTTTTATTGAAATCTAGGTTTTTTATTAAAATATATTTTGAAAGTGCATACCCGGAATTGGAACTGGAACCGCTAGTTCCAAAATATTGAGAACCGGTATAGCCGGTTCCGGTTCCATCAAAATTATACGGGTACCCGCTTTTGCTCATCCCTAGTAGGAAATGATATATCCGAAGAGTTGGGTTTTGGGCAGTCGTGCTCGGAAAATTCAACACGATTTTGAAAAAGCAACAATATTGCAATATGGATATGCTTAGTAGCAAGTGAACTCCGATCAGTCACAAATGCACCAAGTATAATGGGATTTTCATGAGACTAGAATCGCAAAATTAAAGTGGTGCGAATGATTTTGATGTGTTCAAAGCCGCGAGGGAACAATATCATGTCGAAATGGGGCACACTTTTGAGTTTGAAAAAATATGGAAGATTGACAGAAAAGATCCAAAATGGATTAAGGCGCAAACATCGTCAGAGGCACAATCAAAGCGGTATCGAAGTTCTAGTTCATTTGATGTTTCCGTCACACGAACTAACATCGACCTCAACGCCGACACGGATGACATCCCCGACGACATCGGAGAGATCCCCCCCCCCCTCGCACGCAAACTGGTCGGGCGCGACAAAGCATAATTCTTGTTCGTTTGACGTTTCCGATGCACGAACTAACATCGACCTCAACGCCGAGACAAATGATATCCCTGACGACATTGAAGAGACCCCTCCCCCCCCCCCCCCCCCCCCGCGCACGTCGACTGGTCGGGCACGACAAAGCGAAGCGCGCTCAACGACACGCAGACGAAGCCAAAAGAAGGGCACAAGAGTTGGTGAAGATGAAAGCAAAGTTCGACCATTACAATCTAATCGCACAACAAAAGGTTGATGTGCAACGTGAACACTTGAAGTTTCTTTGTAATCAAGATGATAAAAATCAAATAGCGAATGATTTAACAATTCTCCATACTAGCGAAAAAAATATGAGACCACAGCACGATAAGTGCAAGTGCTCTGAAAGATGATCGAAAAGAAATATTTGGATGACTAGTGTATCGTTTTTATGTTTTTAGGACTATAGTTTTTATTTTATTTTATTTTATTTTTTATTTGCATTCAATGTTTTATTTTTTTTTGTATGTAATGTTATTTTTAGTATTTAAATATTATGGTTAATTTAAGATTTAATTAAATTTCATGTTTTATTTTTTTTTAAAGTGAATTAAAAAACATATTGGAAAAATAAAAAATAAAGAAATCGAAAACAAATACATTTGAATTTTTTTTTAAAAAAAAAAAAGAAAAAGAAATGATGATATGAAAAAGAAATCTAATGGTGTTATTTTCTGTTGCATGTTTTCTCCACTTATGCTAAACTGTGTGGAGGAACTTATGCCGACGGTAATCCTACGTGGACGGCGTTGCCGGCGGCAAACACATATTCTTTTACGGGCGGTAATACAATGCATGCATGTTTCCACTGCTTTCTTTACCTATCAAATAGAAGATAAAGCCTTTGTTTACCCACCGCATGCTTCCATCGTTGAGTTATTTGAAACAAATATATATTAGTTAATATGTATGATTTGTTTTCTTCTCTATGAATTATTTAATCCATATAAAAAGGGTAAATGTTATCTGCCTATCTTTTCTTCAACAACCTTATTTACTAACCTAAATACCAAAATAAACGTTATTTATTAAAAAAAGATAACGATTAAAAACTATAAAAAATCGATGTATTTTAAAAGTTTTTGTTTATGTATGTAATTTATATATTTATTTTTAAATGCCATGACAACTTTTTTAAAAAGTTTTAAATTAATTGTTATTGTAAATAAAAGATTGAAAACTTTTGGATTTATATTAATTAATATTTAAAGAAAAAATTGGTAAGTAACAACATCACCACCCCTATTCAAAGGTAAATTGTGGCAAACATGGTCAAAGCTTACGTAATGCCTATACGACACTTTTTTCATAGTTAAAAACGTTACGACTCTCTTTAGCCTTAAGTTCGTCGGTGTGGTCTCGGCAAGCATCTCGCTACCTCGGCGAACAGCAGAGCCCTCGGCATGCCGAGCACGGCTCGGCAACTCGGTAGATTTGTGCCGATGAGAGAGAGTGTATATTTGAAATGCGGAGGTCAACAAAATTTGAAGAAACTTCCTATGTAATTCAAAATGAAGGAGAAGACAACAAATTTTTCCAGATTTGACATAAAAGGTCCCTAGGGTTTGGTCTACTAACAAAAAGTACCCCATCTTAAATTCTCTCTATAGTTTTTGAAATTACAAAATGAACCCTTGACTTATAAATCCTAATTATTATTCTAGTTAAATGTAATTTTAGTTTTAAAAAAAAACAATATGTTTGAAATGTTTATTTTTTTAAAATTAATTAATTTTTTAAAAAAAATAACATCACAAATGTGGCAATTCATACCATGAAAATAGCAAAAATTTAAAATAGTGTGGCAAAGCTGACGTGACTTGTATGACACGATACCCACTAGCCTTAATCTTGTAACACCATGTTTGACATGATATGTAAGGTCAAATCACCTCTTAACTAATTGTCCACACATTAAGCTCTAATGAAAAATAATTTTTTTGATTATACGAAGAAATTTTTTTGTGTACTTAATAGTAAACACCTAGGTTCGGAGTTATACTCTCGATGGGCTTCGTAGTGTCATTTAATTATTACAAGGCCCAGTATCAGTGGGCATATGTTGATCCAAATTAATAACGGTGTTTAAATTATTGGGAGATGTAAAAAGGCGTCTCGAAATTCTGCGAAATCGTAAGCCTCTTCAACGTGATTGTCATCGGTGACCTCAAACACCATCGTTGTCTAGTTCCCCCGACTTTCTGCTGATCTCCCGACACCTTCCGAATTTCCTTCCACCGGTGAAGAAATTTTATCTTCAACTCCAATTTAGCCTCATTCTTCATGGTCGTCTTCTTCAGCCTCATCATATCAGATAATCTGATTCTATTTCCGAGTGCGAATGGTCATTAGGAGGCTCCCATTGTTTTTCTTTCTCCTTAATCAAGATCATGAATCTATGACCTCCATAGACTGAATGCTTCGGGTGTGGCCAGAATCCTGCCGATCCTATCGCCAATTGTCGCCATGCTAGTGTCTGTATCTTACTATTGATTATATTTATATATTTCAGTTACTTTGATTGTACGTTTTATAGTTACTTAATACTATTATCTTATCTATGGCAATGACTATTAAAGAAGCTCCATATTTCAAGTTTTTCCTGCATCAATCTATTAATCTACTTCAACTCTCGACAATCTCAGTACTCTGAAGACATGTTGACGGACCTCCTTCCCAACCAAAATACATGCTCCCACTCCACAGCCATTAATGGCGAAAACCCAATCTCAAACGAACAAGAACACTTCCACAACGAGCTCAATGGAAAAGTAAACGACATTGTTGCAACTCTACCAAAAGGCAAAGGTTGGAGGGGCCCTGAAATCTTTCTACACAAAGGTTTCTGGTTGCCCCAAACAGCTATCAAGAGCTTATTAATGATCCACGAATACTTCCATCCAAAGCCCACCGACATATTCCTCGCAGCTTTCATGAAGTGTGGAACCACCTGGCTTAGAGCTCTCATGTTCGCCACCGCCAACCGCCACCGTTACAAAATCTCCGACCATCCTCTTCATCACACCGGACCCCACGGTGTCTTCCCTTCCCTCGACGCTCAAATCTTTCTTGAGTGTCCTGTAAGTAAGTTCGACAATCTCCCTTCCCCTCGATTGTTTGCTACACACTTTGCTCATAACTTGTTACCGACCTCGATGACATCACCATCGTCGACATGCAAGTTTGTGTACGTGTGTAGGGATCCAAAAGATGCACTCATTTCCAAGTGGCATTTCATGAGCAAAATCAGGTCGAAGGAACTCCCACCCATTTCGTTTAATGAAGCTTACGAGCTTTTTTGCAACGGAATCTCCGAATACGGACCTTTTTGGGACCATGTGTTGGGGTACTGGAAAGCAAGCCAGGAATCGCCTGAGAAGATCTTGTTCTTGAAGTATGAGGATATGAAGAGGGAACCATCTGTGGAGATGAAGAAGTTGGCGGCGTTTATGGGAATGCCATTTACTGCTCAGGAGGAGGAGGCAGGAGTGGTGGAAGAGATTGTGAAGCTGTGTAGTTTTGAGAATTTGAGTAACTTTGCGGTGAATAAGGACGGTGTTCAGAAGTTTAGGGCGCCGGTGGTGGTGGAGAATCGGAATTTTTTCAGGAAAGGAAATGTGGGAGATTGGGAAAATTACTTGACAGAGGAGATGAGAGACCGGATTGATTCAATCACTGAAACCAGATTGAAGGGTTCAGGGTTGGCACTTGGTCTCATGCACAAAGCTTAATCATATTATTTAAATTTAAAGTGTATGTTTTATTTGGTCATCTTTCTGTTTCAAAGTATGCATTTTACACATTAACATTTAGAAAATGGTTTGTTTCAAAGTGTATATATATATATATATATATATA